TTTTTTTTTTTTTTGTGTGTATGATACCTGTTGCTAAGGTTTTACGATACCTTTTGTGTACTATTTTTCTATATATGCTGAGGTTTATGGTGCATTAATATGATCAGAGTGACTCAATGAAGGTTTCATTTTGTACAGCAATGGTTGTGGCATCAAAGGACAAGAAAATGGCAAATGCCGTACAACAGCTTCTTGCTTCCAGGACAATGAGGATCAGCACATCGAGGTTGTAATGTACCAAAGATCTAATCTTTTCTCATGTATCTACTTAAAAAACTTTAACGGGCGTTTGGCCGAGCTTATAAGCTCTACAAAAATTTGGTGGTCTATCATAATTTCATTTCGTCTAGTTTTCTGAAACATCGTGTAAGATCCTTAGAGAAAAAATCTAAAGGAAGATAACTTGTGTGTGTGTTTGTGTGTGCCTTGAGATGTTAAAACAAAATGAGTCATTCGTGAGCTCGGTTCTGCTCTGCTCTTTAAGAGTCCAGTAGTTCGGCTCCATATAGTTAGGGCTGTAAACGAGTTGAGGCGAACCGACTCAATTTCCTGATACCTGAGCTCGGCTTGTTTATCAAAGCTACCTACGAAATTTTCATTTTAACTAACATCCTAAAAGCTCCACCGTCTTAGTTTATTCACACACTTATAATTTCATTTTAACTAACATCCTAAAAGCTCCACCGTCTTAGTTTATTCACACACTTTTCAAAGTCTGATGCATCTTATGAGCTCAACAAATAATCAAAATATGTTGGACATTGCAAACTTCTTGAAAATTAACTAACAAAAACTTGCACAGTACATTCCACAGGTGCTTAATATCAGCCCCTCTTCAAAACTTGCATGCACTTGCGCAAAACTGTTATAATAAACATTCAAAGCCAAAATAAAAGCAAGGAGGCAGCAAATTATGAATGTATATATATATATATATAGCTTACATGCTCATCAGTAACACCTGATGCTACAGTGATGTCACAGGGGTTGAAATTGCAGGTGCTCTTAAGAATGTACTCGCTATAGCTGCCGGGATTGTGGAAGGACTAAATCTTGGAAATAATTCTATGGCGGCTCTTGTTGCACAAGGCTGCTCGGAGATTAGATGGCTGGCAACAAAGGTTAGCTGCATGTAATGAAACTTTTCACATTTGTAATATTATCATTACCATTTTATTTTTTCTCATTTGATAATCTGCACTATCTTTCTATCTCAAATCAGATGGGTGCAAAATCAACCACATTGACTGGTTTATCCGGGACTGGTGACATTATGCTGACGTGTTTCGTTAACCTCTCGAGAAACAGAACGGTTGGTGTTCGTCTAGGATCCGGTGAAAAACTCGACGAAATACTCAGTTCAATGAATCAGGTGCGTAAAAGAATTATTTCGGCTTTTTTCTTGGTGAATGATCTTTTTAAAAACTTTTCTCTGATAGCTTTGACTAAAAGCTCGTTTTTTTAAGGTGGCTGAGGGTGTGTCGACTGCAGGGGCTGTAATTGCATTGGCTCAGAAATATAAGGTCAAAATGCCCGTTTTGACAGCTGTCGCTCGTATTGTCGACAATGAGCTCACGCCTACTAAAGCCGTTTTCGAACTAATGAATCTCCCACAGGTTTTGGTTTGTTCGCTCGTTATCGTTGTCTTTTTGCTAATATGATGCTTAATTATCATTGTAATTTTTGTGATGATACTTAAGTATCGTTGTCTTTGCTAATATGCTAACATCCAATATTTTGCCGTAGGTTGAAGAAGTTTAGCATATCTCAAGAAAATTCGAAATTGTGATCCGTCATATTTTTGTTCGTCCGTCGTTCTCCTTGGCCATGCTACTGATATACATTTTTCGGTCTCATACCACACCAAATTAGGCTACAGAGAATAACAAATTTGTATGAAAAAAAAAAAAAAATTAATTTTGTCTTGTAAGGATGTAAAAACATGTGATTTGATATGGCCTTTGTGCCTTTTGTGGTCTTATAAGGTCACTGTCTGTGTGTGTGTGTGTGTGTGTGTGTGTGTTTGTCCTCAAAGCTGGCTATTATACTGAACAAAAACCCATAAGAAGTCTCAATGGTTCAAACAGACTGCACTCACATCAAAACTGAAGACCACTTCTGAAGTGAAGAAAAAAAAAAGGTGACAATAACATAAGGGTAAATTATGATTCAACCAAGTCTATTGTTAAATATGAAAACTCTATCATCCCAGCAAATTTACTGTTTGAAGAAGGTTGAAAAAAGGAAGTTACAGGAGGATCCTGGTAAAAAAAACTCGAGTATATTCACATCATGTTGGCATCAATTTCACATGAAGTGGCATTCAAGTAAGAACCCAACTGATATAATATGTATTTATATATGTTATTATTTATTATTATTATTATTCCCTTTTGTCCTCCTCCAAATCCTCGACTAGCCCAAACACATGATCAGATGTGATGGAAACTTTCCTTTCTTTCAAATCGCCAGCCACTATAACGCTTGCTCCTGTTAGTGATGAACCCTCTTCATCATCGTCACCAGTCTCATACGCATACCTGCATTTAAACATTGACTCGTTTTTCAGAATTTTTCGTAATTTTACCAGATGCATCATTTTTATTATTTATAGTTGCCTAGTATATATATTCTCTACGGAGGCTCATGGGATTTCTTTGCTTGTTTACTAGCTAAAATAAATGAGACATGATTTAATTAAGTTTCATCATATACTTTCGAATTGTAGTGAAGAAGGTATTGCGTTAGTTAATTTTAATTGAATTTATTACAAAATTGTTCGTTACTGCATTCATAAAAATAGTTAAATTCGACTCTTTAGCAACACCAAAAAAATAAAAATATAAAATAATTATTGGGACAAGAGTATACTCGGAGACCACATCAGTAAATTAAAGCTACAAACCAAAAAAANNNAAAAAAAAAAAAGAAGAAAAAAAACGAATATGATAAAAAATTACCTGAGAGGGTTATGCGAAGGAGCTAATAGGATGCATATAACAACCAATAACACAAAGGCAAGCAAAGTCCAGAAACCTGGGATTATCCATGCTCGTCTCCACAACTCACTCAACGGGTCACTGGCGTTGAAATACAACTGGACAAGCGAAAAATGAAGCAGTCACAAATTCACCAAACCATACAAAATAAGAAAACAACTTGGTTTCTTTCTTTATTTTATTATATTTTGTCTTTTGTTTATTTATATTCGCAAGAATGGTTTTGCAAAATGAATTTAGACGGCTTTGTAAGTCAAACTACCTCATATCCAATCCAAGCAACAGAAAGCAGAACAGATACAGCCAGAGCATTGGTAAACTTTCGGTAAAGCTCAAGTTTGGCCATGCTTCTCCGTATCTAAATCCAAAAACAGAAAAAAAAAAAATAAAAGAAAAGAAAAAAGAAGACAAAAGGCTCATTGACAATGCCAAACATGCAAAAACAAATAAAATAAAATTAAAAAAAATAAAAAACAAACGGCAGGATCACCTGAAGCTTCTCTAGTGTTTTGGATAACGATGAAAAGATCCACATGATAAAACACGCATCCAAAAGTGCTACCGGTAGAACCAAAAAGAGCCTAGCTTTCCCCGAAAAATCATTTATATTCCCCAAATGCTCGACGAGCTCAAGGGCTTCTGATGCAAAGAAATACACCACGCCAAGAAGAATCACTTTCGAGGTTATGCCCCCCAATGTCGGCCTCATAACACCATAACCCATTGAAACCACAAGCAGAAGAAGTCTAGACACAGTTTTCTTGATTGCAGTAAAAGTAACTGCCCAAAGAGTTATCCCGATTGGTCTAGTTCCAGTCGCATTAAAATTAGCATACTCGTAATACCAAAAAGCCATCTCGCACATTCCTAGTCCAATAACAGCCGTTATTTGATAATGCAGATATATTATATCCTTCCAGTGTTGAACAAACCTCACAAACCATAACAGGCCAAGAGCAAGGTAAGCTAATGACATGAACCCATAAAAAGTCACTAGTGGAGCCATTTTGCCTGGTAAATAACCAGCGGGATTTCTCCAGACTGTTCGGCCGCTAATTAAGGTCCCCTTTAGTTCAGGATCACAGACCATGAAATAAAGATAGTACATCCCGGTTTTGTTTATCTCGACTGTTTGGAGCACCATTTTAGCCTCCTCATTGTTGCCCTCGAATGATGTTTGTAGCCTTTTCGGCCATTCCGGGTTTTGGGGATCTTGATGGATGATAACCTCACCAACTTTGCAAAATCCGTCTTTGGCGAGGGAAGGGTCGCAACATATGGCGTTGGAGTTCTGGAAAGCTTTACCGATTCTGTCACTATCTTTGACCTCGACGATTATGGCCTCAACAACTCCAGTACTTTGTTGCATGGCGTTTTGCTTGCTGGCTACCTCCTTTGGCCTTCTAAATGTGATTGATTCGAACCTGAAAGAAGACGAATGAAAATGGTTTGATGAATGCTAATACTGCAATTGACCACAAGTAACGACATAAAAGTCGAAATAATAAATCTACTTTCTAACGAAGGTAAACTATATAACATTAAATACAATGATAACATATAATCTCGACAAATTTATCTCATTAATTATTAGCCAGCACAAGAAGAGCATGTCTGCCTGTAGTGACACCCCCACGTGGTTAATAAATATTTATGTTAATTATCAAGTATAAGTCTGGCCAGTAATGGAAATTCCACGTGATGTCAAAAGTTTTAATTTGTAACATCGGAACCTCTGATGATACACTCACGAACAGTTAAAGAATGCATATGTCAAGTACCAGAACTTGAAAGATAAGTTAATGGTTTGATATCAATCACAGCTCACAAGTAAGGTACTAGTGACAATTCAGATACACAGTTTTTACCCAAAAGACCAGATTGCATTTGAATAAGGCAAAAGCATGCAAATGTATCATATATCTTCAGCTTCAAACCAAACACTTCAACCAGTAATGAATGTAAACTGCACGTTGCACAACATAAATTCTTCTGTCGGATTTGTCTCGTCTACCTAGTCATAGACTATTGACAGACGTCTATCGTGTCACAACATGCTTATAACTCAACCAACTAGAAAGCCAAAAGAAATGAACATTCTTCAACAATAATAAAAAATCGGAATCCACCAAATGAAACCTTCATAGAACACACCAAAAACACAAACCCAAGCACACTGGCACACCCTAATAATTGCCCAACAAACCAACAAACAGAACCCTATAAAAATCAAACAACATAAAAATCATTAAACAGCAATTAATCCGACCCAAACAAACGAAGAAGAAACAGAACCAAACAGAACAGTCAACTTATATTTTTCAACAAAAAGCCAACGAAGCTTCTCGATACCTAATGAACGATTTTCCATTGAGGGGTTTGTTGCTATCATCGTTAGCCGCTGCTTTGGGCGGGTCAATGATCTTGGACGCGTAGAGCCCCTCGCTGCCGCCATGGAAGAAGTAGGAATTGAAACGACGGATGAAAGCTTCGTTCTTGTACTCATGGATCGACGCTCTCACCCGATTATTTTCTCCCACAGAGAACAATAGCAATAAAACCCCAAAAACTACTGGAATTTTATCTCTTCCCATGAGCAACATATCACACTGCGCGCCTCTTCTAAACACCATTTCCCCTTTTTTCTCTATCAGCACAAGATTCACAAGACTTTTAGAAAAAATAGTATATATAAAACTAAGAAAGTAACTGAATAAATACGTGGGTTTTTTTAGTCTTATATCGGCTATGGCGTAAAAATGGAAACTTGAATTTGTTGGGGATGGAGGATGAAGATGAAGATCACCAGCTGCGAGTATTTCAGTGTTCTTGTTCTTGTGGAACTTTTTTTCTTTATAGAACTTGCTTTAAAAACGTTAATTAAAATTTTATTTAATTACACTTATAGGAAACAAAATCAAATTTGTTGCATCAGACTCATATTATTTATGTGCAATAAAAAGGGAAGTGATAATTAGGAGGTATATTTTCCTTTTATTTTTCAAATCTTTCTACTTGCTCCTTTTTTTCTTAAAAAATTCATAGTAGCAATACATCGTATAAAATTAAGTGTTGTATTAGATAATTATTTTTTAATAATTTTTATTCCAATTGACCAAACTTAACTCTACCTTTTATGATCAAAATGAAATTATGGCAATAAAATAGAAATTAGCATGAATATGATAGATGAATTAATTACAAATATTATTGAATAATTAGAAGTTTATGCATTAAATGTCATTGATTTTAAACAAAACTCTAAATACTTAGTTTTAAAAGAATGTCATCTAATATAATTAGTTGTATGAATGGAAAAATCCATCGATGAAGGCGTTAAACGAAACGAGTTACTCGTGAGCTCAACTTGTCAAGGCTCGAGTGCAGCTCAACTCGTTGAAAATTTGTTCTAACAACGAATCGGACACAGGTTGGCTAACTAAGGTAAGAAAATAATAATTTTATAATATATTGTAATTGACTCGCTAAGATTCAAACCCACACGTGATTCTGAATAAACGAGTTTAAGCTAAGTTCGATTCGACTTGTTTACACTCTTGTCATCAAACAACTATTTCTTCTTGTTCTCATGATTTTCTAGTTCCTAAAAATTCAAAATTCTTTTTCATCTCTTACTATTGAATTGAATCAATATCATATCGCATGTTTCATTAGTTATGATACCATTGAATTGAGATCACATGAGATTGACTTTTTTTCTTTTTTCTTTTTAATGAATATCAACTTTGAGATTTTGTATTGTGATATAATATGCTTCTTGGTAGTACTATTGTGTTAACATTTAAAGTAAAAAAACTGTAAAAAAGAGGGAGCGACCCCACATTTTATGATTTTGTGATATTAGACCATCTAAATCTTAAACTCAACTCAATCCAACTCAATATAATAATTAAAAATTATTCTCTCTCTTCCACATACACAACTCAATCTTCCAAACTAATTAATCTTTATCTCCAATCCAACTCAACCTAAATATTTATTTTAATTTAATTTACTTAAAAATTATAATTTTATTCCAAAAATATATCAAGTGTAGCCTTTATTTGCAGAGAATAAAAAAGTATGAATTTTTATATTTTTTTATTTTTTTTTTAAAAAAATACACTTATCCAATCAAAATGGGACAAGTGTCCCATTTTCAGGTCACGACCCAAGGTCACAATGTGACTTGGGTCGGTGAATTTTCACGACCTTCCCTTCTTCTTTTTTTTTTTTTTTTT